GTGTCCGAGCCTGTATCCAAAATGTGTCCAAACGTGGGTCCAAACCTGGGTCCAAACCTGGGTCCAAACCTGTGTCTGAACCTGTGTCCGAACCTGTGTCCAAACCTGTGTCCGAACCTGTGTGTGAGCCTGTATCCAAACCTGGGACCGAACCTGGGTCCAAACCTGGGTCCAAACTGTTGTCCGAAACGGTATATCCGAGCCTGTGTTCGTAACGTCTTCAACCGCGACTGGTGCAAAATGCGCCAGATGTTGCAGCTTTCATGTGAATAGCGGACTGAACCACCGGCTTGCAGATTGCGATTCCAAGTTGCTGTGGGCATCTGTCCAAACCTGAGTCCGAACCTGTGTGCGAACTTGTGTGCGAACCTGTGACCGAGCCTGTGTATCGAAACCTGTGTCCATCAGGTCTTCAACTGCGACTGGCGCAAAATGCAACAAGCCTGCACCGGTTGTTGCAGCGATCATCTGAGTAGCGGTCCCAACCACAGGCTTGCAGATCGCAACTACTCCAAGTTGCTGTGGGGATGTGTCCGAACCTGTGTCCGAACCCCTGTGCCCAACCCAAACCTCTGTCCGACTTGTGTTCCAGCCTGTGACCGCCGAACCTGCGTTCATCAGGTCTTCAACCGCGACTGGTGCAAAGTGCAAAAGCCGGCAGTCGATGTTTTTTCACCGTTCATTTGAATCGCGGTTCGAAACTCCAGTTTGCACGATGCAAGTCCTCGATTTATGTGTGTCATCCTTGCGCAGGGGCCATTTGTTAATTTTAATAATTTACCCTTCTCAGTATCGTTCCAATTTTAACGGATGTCGCCAAGGACAAGCAGGCTGCAATTGCAAGTAAGCTGCTGTGGGGTGGAGATTTCTTTCTCCTCCAGTATGTGTCCACTCACCCTCAGCATTCAGTTGCACCAGCTATATTCATCCGTGTGGTGGGTGTGCATCCTCCTCCCTCTCCCAACATTCCTCTTCCGGACCTGCACACCAGCACAGGCAGATCCACTAGCACTGTGTGCGTCACTATGGTTCTTTCAATGCCTCTTCTCCCTTCTTGCTTTCCTTTTTTGTTGTGTTTCTTTTTTCAATGGCTCTCCTATCTCTTTACCTCTTTCTCTGTTTTCTCAACGGGGGCGACGGCCTGTACATATCATCATTGATGATTGAACAGACCGGCCTCACGTAAAAATTCACAAATATTTTCCCTCGTCTGATTCCATCATCAGGACTCGAACTCAGGTCTCATTATCAACAGTTGATGATGGCTAGACCATTCGGCCACACGGGGTAAATGATCCGTAGATCCCGTGGAGAGGCCTTCACCAAAGTCCCAAACAAACACCTTACAAGCTGGGACCACCACATTGACGGGCCCACGATCCACCTCCCTTAGGATGGATAAAATAATGGATAAATTAAATAAAATTCGATAAAATCATGGACAAAACTATCGTAAGGGATAAAATTCTGGATAAAATTCTGGATAAAATTACAGATAAAATTACGGACAAAATTATGTGCAAAATTATCATAATGGATAAGATTATGGATTAAATATTGGATAAGATTTTCAGCCCTTATAATGAAGGATGCCACTGTTTTCGCCACTTTTTTCCCAAAAAAAAGGGGAATAAATTATGGATAAAAAATTATGGATAGTAGGATACTATTATGGATAAAATTATCGTGATCGATAAGTTAAGACTGGTAGACACTGAGAGATGCAACATGCACTTGGAGTCTTGGACATACACACATATTATACACACTAATGCACGCATACACTCAAGCACAGATTCCAACAAAGTACAATTAGCGCAATGATTGATTGCGGAGCCGGTGGGTGTCGGCACCGGACCGGTTTCGACCACCGCCACGTGGTCATCAGAGAATAAGATTATGGATAAAACAATGATAACTGAAAATTTTATGGATAAAAATCATAAAATTGTTCACACCTGACTGACCTGCAGTGCATGGGGAGTCCGCCTAGTTTAGACTGCCTTTCTGCTGAAGCCGACAGCTGCAAAAAAAAAAGGTCCCAAACAATGACACAATACGTTGGGCTCAGATGGGTGTCAAACCCAGCACCTGGCCCAAGTACGAGGTCAGTAAAGGGCTGTTTCTATTTTGGCTGATTTTTGTGGTCGGCGCTGTGCAGAATTCAAACCCGCAACTCTGTAATCATTTAATTTCGTCTTTTGTACGTATGTCGTGGGAGCAACAGTGTAATTTTTGGGGCACGATTCTGAGGTTTAGTGTTCTGTTATAATAAGTTACAATGTACATGGTCAGTCTTGACGACCGAAAAATGGGCCACTACCATCTTCCCCAAAACACAACGCACCCTCATTTTGGCTGCACTGGACCAGAAAGATAGCTTGTGTTCTGGAGAAGGCCGTACCTTTGGATGCCGTACAGACACACACACACACACACACACACACAGAGAGAGAGAGAGAGAGAGAGAGAGAGAGAGAGAGAGAGAGAGAGAGAGAGAGAGAGAGAGAG